AATGGATCCAACCCATGAGTTGGGAGAAGCACCTATAGCCTAATAGGTCAAGTATAGATATTTATGTAGTTGGTGGAATTCAAATTCTTTACCAACTTTATTCAAATATTAAGGTTTGGGAATGAACAATTAGAGTTAAAGTGTCAATTTTGGATGAAATGTCTTTTTGATCTCAAATTTAGCTTATTGTCACCACCATTCAAATCCCTTTTTCTTTTTTTGATTTTGGATTGTATAATAGGAGATAATATTCTCTTATTATTTAACTTATTTTTACTTAAGTGTTATGTGATTTAAATTTAAAATTTTTTATTTTTACTAAAAAAGATATCATTAAACTACTTGGGCTTTTGACATCATGATATTCCGTAGCTTTTATATTGATATATTATTCATGATAAATTGATAATTGAAACGATCCTCATTAGCAGACAGTAACGATTTCAAGTCAATGCGCTCTTGGTCTAGTAATTAAAGAATCAGTTGAGATCGCCATAGATTTCCTATTTCAATATCATGTCACCCACATAAGTAACCATCTCAGATATCATGTCACCCACATAAGCAACCATCTCAGATACCATGTCATTTGTCTCTGGACTCATTTCCAGATTTCTTGGGTTTGGCTTGGAGTGACAACGTAATTATGTTTTGGCTCTCATCTCGTGCCTTTGTCCTCCAAGGATATTCCACGCATGTGGCTCTCTTGGAGCTCTGTGTCAGAGGCTGCAAGGGGACCCTGTGTCATCAACAATAGGCCAGAGTTAGAAAGGAAAGAGTCTAAGGCTTGAGCGTCCCAAGATGTCTTCCTTATGGACCCACTGAGATGTGGCTACCCAAGCTTGGTAATCTTCAAAATATTATACCCTTTCAAATTCAAGAGTAGTTCTTCTTTGACCTCAAAATAATATCTGAATTCTAAAAGGCCAAAGCCCTTATTTGCACCTTCCATTTATTTCTTTTCCGCGGTCAACACCTTCCGGAATTTTTTTTCCCTATTCACACATTCTACTTTTCAAAACCCGTAAAAAACCCCACATTTTAACGCACCGTCACGGTACCGTTACAAAATGTATTACGTGGCACTCAAAAATTGACGTGGCCAATATATGCCGTTAGTAATTCAATGTGGATGCCTTTTTTGATGACGTGGTTTACTTAAATAAAAAAATTTGTTCGGGTTCCCGAACCCAGAGGAAGGAACCCGATCTGGGTTCCTCGTCGCAAGGAACCCAGAGTCGAGTTCCTCGTGGGTTCCTCCCGAGGAACCCAGATCGGGTTCCTCCGGAGGAACCCAGCTCGAACCCGCTGGGTTCCTTGTGAGGAACCCGATTTGGGTTCCTCATCAGGAGGAACTGGGTTCCTCATCATGAGGAACTGGGTTCCTCATGTTCCTCATGGGTTCCTCCGGAGGAACCTGATTTGGGTTCCTCATGGGTTCCTCACAAGGAACCAGAGCTCCTGTTCTTTTTTCTTTTTTTTTTTTAATTTTTTTTTTGGGTGGGAAATTTTCACAAAAAAATATTCCATGTCAAGCCACATCATCAAGAAAAGGCATCCAC